ATCTGAATGGTTTCGTGTCAAGATATATACGGATTCATTTATTTGATTTCTGAGGATTTTGGGCCTTCCAAAAAGATTGGTTTGTTATATATATAAAATATAACCCATCTCACATCAATTTCATTCTTGTATAGGCAATATGTGGCATGATCAGAAGCATGTCAAAACCTATATTTTCTTATTATATTGGTATGTTTCCAATAAGATCCATAGAAATTGAAAGCCTTACCCTTGGAACTCTTCCTCCTATATTTCAGGGTATGTTCATCAGTCTACTGATTAATGTTCCAAATGCTTCCCATAAGTCTTTCAATAGGCACTTTGCTTAATGATTGTAGGTTGTTCTTCTTGTACTTTGGCAGGTGTAAAAGTACATATATTGAATACAAACCATCTTATATTTGAGTTTGTTGCTAAATGGGCTGGAAATCCCAACATAACTCTGGTTTTGAACATATTATTTCTACCCATCAAAATTCAGGTTAGAAGAGTTTGGTTCTTATGTCATGAAGTACATGAGAATTTTTTTAGTGGTTGGTAATCTTGCATGCTTGCTTTATGGTATAGATAAAAGCAGAAACACCCACACTGGTCAAACAAGCATGCATGATTTCTTGAAGATTTCAAGTGCTTTTAATAACAAGTCAAAGAACAAAAGCATAATATCTCACAGAAATTAACAGACTACAAGTCATGTTAAGTCAAGATCAGAAACACCCAATAAAGGTAAAAAAGCAAGCATGATTTCTTTCAAAGACAGACAGAAACACAAGAAACACAAGTATCATCTCACACAGACAAACAKAAACCATGATCATGAATGATCTTTCAAAGATTTCAAGTGGATCTTAGAAAAGAAACACAAAAATGCATGATTTTTTAAAGATTTCAAGTGCATCTTAGAAAAGAAACACATAAATCATCTCACACAAAATTAACGATATATAGAAGCCACACTGAAACAAGATCGGAAACACCCACAAAGGTCAAACAAAAGAATAATCTCACACAAAAACATTCACAAACACAGAATCAAGCCATGTTGAATGAATATATAAAATCCAAGATATTGTAAATGGTACCTATCTTTTTGGTTTGAATGATAGCAGATCACCGGTGAGAAAGTAATAAGCAGGTAATATCATCAAGAGGGTTTTACAAAGAGATACCAACAGAGCTCCACTGGCAGTATGCCTACCTCCACCCTACACAGAAATTTAAAAAACCACCTTCTCTATCTAATTTTTCATTTATTCTCCAAACTCTTCCCTCTCACTTTTTTCCTACTACAGTTGTGGGTTTTGATAAAAAAAGAAAAGGGGAGGGGGATAGAATGCCAAGGAACTCAGTGAGAAACCCTTTATTAAACCACCATGAAAGAGATCAAAATACTTGAGAGAGATTGAGAGAAAGAGAGCAGAAACCAACTGATCATCACACATATAACATGAAGACTCTCGTTTTACATTCCATATATGATATACCTTAAACTATCAAAAAATAAACCAGATCATTAACCAGCCACGCTGCTATTCTACATTATTGCAATTTAATTTCATCATATATGTGTTATTAACCAGCCACATTACATTATAAAGATCATTAACCAGCCACATTACATGAAACCCTAATATTTTTGAATAGATGAAACCTGATATTTTCACATAAATGAAACCTGATATGTTCTCATAAATGAAACCCTAATATTTTCGCATAAATGAAACCTGATATTTTCGCATAAATGAAACCCTAATATTTTCGCATAAATGAAACCTGATATTTTCGCATAAATGGTAAAAACAAACCTGGAGATGGATTAAACGATAAAGAAGACGATGGAAGAGAGGTCTGATTTTGAAGAAGACGATGGAACCTCGCTTTAATATATTGATGATTCGAGTGTCTTAGGGAGTGAGGAATTGCCAGAATCGTCGTATTGGGAGCGACGAAGCGTCTGAATCGTCGTCTTAGGGGTGGAGAGCGACCTAATCGGCGTCTTGGTGGAGGGAAGCGACCTAATCGGCGTCTTGGAAAGGGGAGCGATCCTTTGGGGGAGGGGAGCAAGTAATCTACTGCAGTAAAGGATAAAAGATAAGGGTATTATGGTTATTTATAATTTTAAGACTTTAAGACTTTTGGTAAATCTGCTTAATAAGGTAGTATAGATATAACATAAAAAGCAAACACTGCTCTGATACCACTTATTGGTCCTAGCCGGATCTACAAGAGTTTATAGGTAACAGTTCGTAGAAGGGGGGTGAATACAAACACAAAAACTTTCACTTTTAAAAAATATATATTGATAAAGAAAATCAATACAATTTTACTGATTATTCGCGGAAAAGATAGGATACAGATGCTATCTAAACAATCCAAGATACATACAAGATTACAAATAGCAATAAGAAAAGATTTGTTACAATAAATAAGGTAAGAATAAATGTGCTCTTCACTTTTTAAAGTGGGTTTTTATCTTAAACAGAGAGTAGTGAGAGAAGTAACTTCTTGGGTAAGTTCTTAGTAAGGAAGATGATGATTGAGAGGAGAACCACTTTCCTATTTATACCCATTGCATTAAATGCAATTCAGAAGGTACAAAGCACGTGTCAAGCTTTTAGTGGAAAGCTTGTCCTTTGTTCAGATATGGTAGGATTTTGGCCGTATGTGAACAGTCTTCTTTCATAAAGTAGATGAGCACGTTTAGAGTCAAAGAAATGGCTCCGTACTGTACTATACTTAGAAATGTATGGGTTTGTCCTTTGTGTGTGGAAGGACAAGACAAAAACAATCTTGATTGGAAAGATTTATTTGATCGCTGAGTACTAGGATGATGCTAAAAGGTCTCATCAGTGTTCGTCGAATCTTACGCAGACTTCACACATATGTAGACAGCTTGTTATCACTAAATACCGCTTCAAATCAAGAACTTGCTGGTCTCTAATCTTCAGCTTATGTCTTCGACATTGCTGAAAGATCTATGGTGTGAGTTTTGTCTTCTTGAAGTATAACAGTCTCTGAATGATTTACAATACACGTTCAGTGATCACTGAGCAGACTCGGTGAAGATCGCTGAAACTGAATAACATAAACAATATACTTCAATAGATAAAAGAGATCATTATCAAATCAATGAGAGAGAGGATCAACACTTATCTTCAAAGTCTGAAGACTTTGAGTTCAGAGCTCGGATATAGAGCTCGAAAATAGAGCTCGGATAAAGAGCTCGGATACAGAGCTCGAACATAGAGCCTCTAGTTCGTTCAACCAAAGCCTTTGGCTCGTTCAACCAGAGCCTCAGGTTCGTCTATCTAGAGCCTCTAGGTCAAGAAAATGTTACAAGACTAAGTATAAGTCTTATAGACTTATTTATCTCTAAACTGTGCTTACAAGACTAAGTCTAAGTCTTAAAGATTTATCTTCAGATTTTCGAATTGTGCTTATAAGACTAAGTCTTTCAGACTTATTTTCAAAGTCTAAAGACCTTGGTTTAGAGCTCGGATACAGAGCTCAGACACAGAGCTCAGATACAGAAGACTTCAGAGTTCAGACTTCTAAATTTGAAAAAGAAGACTTCAGATATCAGACTTTTAAATTTGAAAAAGAAGACTTCAGAGTTCAAACTTCTAAGTCTTAAAAAGAAGACTTCAGATATCAGACTTCTAAATTTGAAAAAAAAAGACTTTAGAGTAGGATTTAGTTTCCTACTTCATGATCTTCTTCTTTAATCTCTTAGTTACTGTGAAGAATGACTCTTCAGACTTGAATTTAGAAATGAAACTATATCAATAATTAGTTAAAATGAAGTTAACCCTAGAATAAAATTGAATTTAGAAATGAAACTATATCAGTGAATTGAATTTAAACTTAGGAGTAAATCCCATCTTTTTCGGGAATCAATTACCACACGAATTAATTAACCTGAGAATAAAATCAATTGCATCCTAAATTAGTGGGATTGATTGACTAAGATGACATGTGTCAATCATATGAGTCTAATTGAAATGTCAATGTAAATTGTGTCTAGATACATGTTTAGGCGGAAAACACTAAAATCGGCTCACCATAAGATGACATGTGTCATGCTAATTACTAATTTATTATAAATGTAGATGTTCAGGGGCATAATTATTAAAAATGAAAAAGTTTAATATTTAATGGACTTTAAATATTAAACTTACAAACATATACAGTTTAGAAATTTAGATTAAATATTCATTTTAACAAAACAAAATATCTAAACAAATGAATGTAATAATTAAACATCTCTTAAGTCCAAAGTTCAAGCAATCCAAAGTCCAAACAAATAAATTTATAATACATATTAAAAAATAAACAAATTAACAAAGTTACAACTCCACTGTGAGTATTGAGTAACAAAATCTACGACTTCGTAACCTTCAATTCTTGAGTCTTGAGTTCTTGAACAAACAATTTAGAAGGCAAATCTTACTTGGTTGATGTCTTGATGATGTGTGCCGAAATCAAACCATGGATTAGGAAAGATCGATAGATTGATAGAGTTCTTGAGGGATTTCAAATTTTGGAGACCGTCAATGTCAAATGTATGTTTAATGGTTTAATGGTTTTAGGCGATGATTTTAATTACGTTAGATGTTGGGCTTAGGGATATATTTGAGTCATCATCTATAAGTTAAAAAAGTTGAGTTTGATCCAAACCGCCCAAAAAAGGTTCCAGACTGCAAACCGGACCGGACTACCCGGTTTTACTATTTTCCAAATCAACCAAACCATCAAACCGCTCAAACCGTCAAAAAAACAATCTAGTTTAACTTGTTTTGAACGATTTAAACGATTTAAACGATTTGGAACACCCCTATCTTTTAACTCTCCTTCTCATTATCTCGCATGGATTAATTGCGGCAGACAATCAATCCTTTTACGTTAACCCAAACTCCCAAAAGAACTCCCTCTCGCACTATAAAAGGACGTCCTCATAAAAATGTTGGTTTCGCGCCTTGTGAGTTTGAGCTTCTCGAGCAAGCTTCACTAAAACACTCCACTGTTCTCTCCGGCGAATCTTGTTCTTACCTGCCGCCGTCGATCCTTGCGCAATCCTCCGGCGATACTTACCTCCCAGAGTTACATGAATTCGCAACAATGGTACTCTCTCAATTTCTTGAATATTAACAAGTTTTTAAAAATGTAACCTTTTTTTACAACTTCGTATATTGTCTTCTCCCTTTTGTTGGAATTCGGGATGTAGATACTTGGAAATTGTATTGCAAGTGATAAATCGAACTAGTGTTTAGAAGCTGTTTCTATTTTTTGGGGATCCAGATAAATTGTGCTATAACTTTCTTTTCTTGATTGGATGCTTCCTTACATTTGGTGTTTTTGCTAGGGTTCTGCATAATTAGGTACAAAATTAAGTTAGTATATTGTCTTCTCCCTTTTGTTGGAATTCGGGATGTAGATACTTGTAAATTGTATTGCAAGTGATGAATCGAACTAGTGTTTTGAAGCTGTTTCTATTTTTGGGGATCCAAATAAATTGTGCTATAACTTTCTTTTCTTGATTGGATGCTTCCTTACATTTGGTGTTTTTGCCAGGGTTCTGCATAATTAGGTACAAAATTAAGTTAGAATCCTTCCAAGTATCTAACCATGGTTGTGAAAGGTGCTTTTAAGGTGTAATGCCTTAAAAGGCCACCATGGTTGCGGCAGATGGTGGCACCTGCCAATAATTTCTTGCAACAAGGTTCAGATTGAGATTTTAGTGAATAAAAATTGTTTTGTGTAATGCCCTTTTAGTTTAAATGGAATCCTAACGTACTAGGCATCTACTTCCACTACTATACCACCAAAAGTGAAGAGAAAAAAATGGAACAATCAACATTAGGTTCTTCGCTCTACCTCAAACATGTCTCTTCTCTTGATGATCTGTTTCTTGACTTGAGATTAATTTTAGTGGTTTATAGGTTACTAATGTTTATGTTAATTGTTAAATTGATGAATTTTTAACTGGTTCATGTGAGTGCCCATGGTTTTCTGGTCAATATTAATTGGTATTAGTATTAATGTTAGAAGATTACTGATTGAATGTTATTGATGCTTTTTTCCATGTGCCATTCATGTTAATATAGATGTTATATGTTGTAAATTGTATTAAGTTCAATGTTTTAGGCATACATGCCTCTTTTTGATGATTCCTTTGTATGTATGTGTAATAAAGAAAGAAAGAAATATGCCGGCAGCCGTCCTAGTTGTGCTTTAAAACATGCATTTTGGATTTGGAACCACCCAAAGCCATATCTTAGAAAAGCACAATTTGGTTGGCTGCAAGTTAAGTTTCGGCTATGTTTGGCAAACTAGTTAATGGCTAATAAGCTTGTTGTTAGCTAATAAAACTAGTCATATTTGATAAAAACTACCTAATAAGCTAGATGACAATGTAAAATGACCTAAAATAAAAATATAAGGGGCACAATAAGAAAAGTGAAATAGCCCGATAAGCTATTTGAAGTAGCTTTTCAAAAAGCTAGCTTGGCTTACCACACGGGGCTTTTTCAGTAAGCTCAAAAAATAAGCTAGCTTTTTKGTTGCCAAACAAACATGGCCTTTGTGTTAAGGCTGTTGATAGTGTACAATTTAAAACTTTTGTTGGTCATTGTAGATGAGTCACCCACCTTGCTATGAGTCTCATGCCTATGGCCGTAGGCAGACCTTTGTGCCTTAGAGCCTGAAATAACAAAACCTCCACTTCTGATTACAGTTTAATGTTTACAACTTTTGTGAAATGATGCATTCTTTCAGAATGGAGAAGAATTGTTCATTTTCATTTGATCCATTTACATTTTGATATCAGCATCAATCTCTCAAACATGTTTCTTTATGCAGGTTTTCACTACCAAATTCTCATTGCCTTCATTTCTGAAACAAGTAAATAAACTGACAGAAAGCCAAAGGAACTCCATTAAAAGAGTGGGATTTGGCAACTTGTTGYGTATTCCAAATCATGTCCTAAGGAGGCTGCAATTGAACGAATTGATGGAAAGATGGAATARCGAAAGAAAAGCGTTTGTATTTCCTCCTGGWGAAATAACAATAACCCTTGTAGATGTTGTTTTGATTTTAGGAYTACGTGKTRTTGGTGAAYTTGTGGTCCTAGAGGAAGATGCACCATTAACGAGCCTAGAGAAAGAATTTGGTGCTTCTATAGTGAATAGGACAATTGGTGTTGAATCACTTAAGCAGAGACTTGAGTCTCTAGGTGAAAGGGATGATGAATCTTTCGTGAGAACGTTTTTATTATATTGTTTTGGAACGTTACTTTTTCCAACTGCAAATGGAAAGGTGGATTTGAGGTATCTTTTTTTTTTTGCAAGACTTGGATAATGTGAGTTGTTTTGCCTGGGGTGCAGCTGTTCTTGAAGATCTTCATGATTGCTTGAGCCAACGAAAAAGTAAAAGAACAAGTTTTATTGGAGGGTGTCTTATTCTTCTTCAAGTAAGTTCCTATTTACTTGCTCATATTTCTTTTTGAACCATCATACTTAACTTATCTTATAAACTAATGCTGGCTCTTGTGATAATTAATAAAAATATAATTTCGAAAGATTGCACGATTTTGGACAAATTGTGGAAATGTAAATGCAAAAAGGGACCATTGTACTTCCATCTTTTCTACAAAATCACTTGCTCTTTCAAATCATTGAGATTGGTTTGGTTTGTATAGGTTCAACTTTTGTGGGATCACATAGGGTTGTACCGGCTCCAGCCATGGCTTCGCTTGTATAGGCTAGGTCCCATTGGCTTGTATAGGCACGAATAAGCTCAGACCTAGGCTTCGTTCTTATGGGCCCGTAAAATGATAAAAAGTGAACTGTTCAACAAAATTTTTACTCGATCACAAAAAATGCAACGTTGGACCTGGCACGTGGTTCTGTTTGACTATTGATTAAATGTTTAAAATGACCCTTAATGTGTATAGAACAAAGAAACTTGTGGACGACAAGCAGAATTACTTATGTCAAGTAATGATTACCAGAAAAGCAAAGTAGGTTCAAAGAGTTATGCATAAGGAAAATCCAAAATGGAAAGGGTTTCCATTTTTGGAGGAAGAAGGGGAATAAATAAATTTTCTTCGAGAAGTTACAATTGGAAACCCCTAAAAAGAAAATAGGAAATTTTGTCTTGGATAGGTTTATGTAGGCTTGGTGGGCTTGGCTCGTTTACAGTTGTTGAGCTCTTGAGTTTGAGCCATATGTGTTTGAGCTTGGCTTGGGGTTGTGGGGCTTTTTGATCTGCCTTCTGATTTGCTCTCACATGCCAGCTTGTCTTGTCTTCTACACCTCTAGTTGCCATGCCATACCCCAAATGTGATTCTTAATCATGAAAATCCATCAACCTTGTTAGAGTCCATCGGCTAGACTTGGACCATTTCTTCTCMATATCTRTTGGAATCTCCCTTCTCTCCTCAATGGATCTTTTGGAGAGTAATATGATAGCGTTCTACATTTTCTCACAGCCAAGGTCTATCACTCTAGGTACTCGGGGTCAATCTATACTCCTTGTGATTCTGTGGTGTGATTCCCAAAATCATACAAACATGATTAAGATCTTGAAGAAATAAGATGAAGAGAGAGTAGATCACCAAAAGTCTCTTGATTGATTGAGAGAGAAATTACAAGGCTAATTTCAGATTACAATTGCTAATGACTTGCTTAATGACAATTACAAAGGAAATTACTATTTATACTAAGAAAGGAATAAAACTACACTATTACAAAACATGTAAAATATGGAGAACTTGAATACAACAATAACGTGCATACTCGAACCCAACATTCTCCCCCTTTGGATTCAAGTTCAGACTCTTGAAAATTTCGTCTTTCTAAGTCCAAGAATTTTCTCTAACCTCCTTAGAGCGTTCCTGTACTGAATCTTCTCCTCGAGCAGATTTATGGCATTGATCAACATATATCTTTCTTTAGAACTCATTCTCTCTGACTCTGCAGCTCTGTCATTGTTCACCGTTTTCAAGTCAAGCGCCCGTCTTACCAGCCTTATTGTACCATCTGAATACTTGTTCAACTCACTGAATCTCATAAATTTCTTCACTTGAAGCTGAGCAAAGTATATGACTCCGAACTCTGGCTTTTCAAGAATCATGTAGACTGGATAAGCATCAATATCTTCTAAGTCTTGATCAGGTCTTTTCAGATTGATGATTCTTTGGTTGTCTTCAAGACCCATCTGAACATCTATAACCATAACCAGCTTTACTTGACATCACATATATCTTTTAATAGCATCAAGAGCAACCAGAGCTCCCTCTTTCCTGTTAGTCATGTTTCTGATCTCAAAGTACATATACTCTAAATCTTCCAAATATAAGCTTGAGAAATCAGCTTCACTGAATCTCCAGATTTGTCCATCTTGTCTAGTCACAGTGAAGAC